TTTTTATTTCTTACTGTATTATACAATTAGAATCTATGCAATATATAGTCAGTCCTGTCTGTTTATGAGATGATAGGACACTGTCAAGGAGTTGCATTGCTAAGACAAAGACAAACAATACAAATCCACCAACTTCTCTGTGGGAGCAAGATGGGCAGTCTCCTCCTGTGTGATGTATTGTTATTGTTATGTTCCATGAAGTAGGAACTGATTCATAGCTCACAGATTTTCAAGACCATTAATCTGACAGGAAGAGATTGCCCATTTTACACCTGTGAAGCAGCTGCCAGATTTGAACCTTGGGCCGTTGGCAGCCCAGCTCTTTACCATTAAGCCACCAGATGATTTACTGCCTCTGAAAACCCACTGGAGGGTCAGCTATGAGTCAGCTCCGAGTCAATGGTACACAAGTACAGTATAATAAGTAGTCTGTCTCTATGTTTATGAGATTATGGGACAGAGCTTAATACAAATAAATTATTGTTGTTGTTGTGTGCCGTCAAGTTGCTTGCGACTCATTGCGACCCTATGTATAAGAGCCCTAAACACCATTCTATCCTGTGCCAACCTCACCGTCTCAAACAAACATACTCTTTCCCACCACCCCAGTCACAGATTTGATCCATCTCATTGAGGGTCTTCCTCTCCTACGCCGTCCCTCCACTCTCCCAAATATGATGTCCATCTCCAAAGACCAGTCCCTCCTTGCTAAATACCCAAAGTATGTCAGACGAAGCTTCAGAATTCTTGACTCCAAGGAGCAGCCCGTTTTCACCCTCTCCACGACAAACCTGTTTGTTCTCCTTGCAGTCCATGGTATATTCAACACTCGTTTCCAGCACCACAGCTCAAAGGCATCAGTTCTCTTTCGTTTTCATCCCTATTCACTGTCCAACTCTCTGATGCACAGCGTGTAATTGCGAAGACTATAGCCTAGATCAGTGATTATGTGCTGGGTTCAAGAGAATGCTTCTGTGTTTCAAATAAAAATCCAAATCCTCTGCCCTAATGTTAATTCCAACTCATTAGTGACCTTGTAGAACAGAGCAGAATTACCTTCCAAGGTTTCAGACTTTACTAATCTTTACAGAAGTACAGGGCTTTATCTTTGTCCTACAAAGAAAATAGTGGATTTGAACTATTTACCTCTTAGTTAAAAGCCACATACCTTAGCCACACTGATACCACAGCTCCTTCAAATTAGAGTATAACTAGAGGATAAGAAAGAAGACTGACTATGAAAAATGAGTGTGTGAGGAAGTAGAAGTGTTTGGAGATAAGACATTTAATAGTTGACTGGCAGGAGATTGTGGAAAGCTTAATATGTCATGTCAGACTTTTGCATTTTATTCCTTTAAATGACAGTTATTTATTGAATCTGTTTTAGAAGAATGACTCCTAATCACTGGGAAGAGGTAGAATACAGGCCTAGAGACTAATGAGAGAACATTTTCCTCGAGTTCTGATGAAGGGACAGGAGTTAGAGTAGAAAGAACACTTGGGAATGTCAACATTTAGACAAAAAGGATACCGTTTGTTTCACCCATTTATGCTGGAATTTAAGGCAGCCACAGAGAATTACTATTAGAAAGAGCTGAGCAGGGTACCAAAGAAGAATGATGTAGAACGGAATTTCAAGGACAGAATGGCTGATAGTGTCAAAAGGTGGATGAGATAGGTTGATTTAGCATCTAATTCATTCTCTAGCCAAATAATTCATGACTAGCATTACTTAATTCTATTCACCCAATATTTATTGTTTACCTGTGGTGTGATTAAAGCCACAGTCTCTAGCCATCAAGTGTTTGGATTCTATTAACAGAGGCAGACATTGCAGATAAATATTCTGGATGTTTACAGTCTAGGATAGTGACAACATAGAAGTGGTAGGGAGAAAGGTTTTCACAGTTATTCCATCGTCTTTTATTAACTTTCAATTTCTTATGCACCATGTAAATCATGTATAGTGATTGCATCTGCTTCACCTGTCTCTGCTACACAATTTGGCATTTTATTGTGAATTTTACAGTTTGATATATATCGCTGTCATAATTACTCAGTTTTTCCTGTCCTAATAATAATGTCTGTGTTCTTTGGTAAATGTGAGCATCTAGTTGGGTCGTGCTGTTTTCCCTTCCTTTGGAGGTTGAACTCTTTTATTTAGTCTTTATTTAAAATTAAGTTGCAATTAAATATGCAAGTCTGGCAGCTGCCCTCATGCACATTGGGTGACAAATAAAAAACATTACCAGAGTTTTCATACGTGTTACACCTCTTACAGAACATATTTTTATTAGTATATTACCTTTCTTGATGTAACTGCTATTTTTTATTATTCTTTTTAACTGATTCTTCTAAACACTGTCTATTGTAATACTGAAAGGCTGTGGCCCCTAGTTGGGAGAGTTGACTGGTTTGATCATATCTGACAGCAAAAGTGCCTTTCTTTATATGCTGACTCGCACGGCTTATACAGAGCAAAGCTAACAGGGACCTTACCTGTTGTCTGGCCTACCATTTTTTTTCTCTTCCAAACAAACTATAATTTAATCCAGAATTCATCCTGAGATGCTGAGAAGGGTATTCTAGGCTTCCTAGACTGAGGGTAGGGGAAGAAGCCATAAACAGTCATCTTCATAAACACACATACACTTAAATCTACAGCCTCAAAATATCTATCGTACAGCATATGTAGGAAACCTAGAAAAAAATATAGTATTCCTTAGATCAATGAAATGTGTGACTATATTCCTTAGATAGCTTCATTTTTTTGAAACTCAGTTTCCCATTTTGAGTAACCAAGAGAGTATATTCTGTGAAATGGTCTTTCTGTTAGGTACTCTCATTCCTGCTTATTAAGCCCAGCCCTGAATTTAGAATTTTGGACTCTGGAATACGGCATCCAATCTATTTGTCTTGCCCTGCTTCTTGCTCAGTTCCTGTCCTGCTTTATCTTTTTCATCTGTGTTTTAGTCCTTTCACTCTGAAACCCTTCTTCAAACATACTTTTATATTTGTCCACAGGTTTCCCTATTTTGTGTAATTCCTAAAGTGTGTACATGGTCTTACTTCTAAATTAATAAAAAAAATAAATTACCTTGTAACTTGTACTAATCTCTTATGAGCAGTAATTTTTTCTAGTTATTAATTAGTCTAGAAGCCAACGAGAAGAGAGAACCATGTAGTTTTTGTTTTCTTTTTAATGTCCTCTACAGTTTTTATATCAGAGGCCTTTAATACGTATGTTTTTTATAACGTTAAAATGGGTTTTATGTTTATAATTTTATATAAATGATTTTTAACGTATGGTGTTTTTCTCCAATAGGGTACAAAAATGCTCAGAAATCAATCATATGAACGCTCACAATTTGGCCATGGTGTTTTCATCCTGTTTATTTCAAACTAAGGGACAAACTAGTGAAGAAGTGAATGTAATCCAGGACCTGATTAATAATTATGTTGAGATATTTGAGGTAATGCTTTCTATCTTGTTGTGTTTAAAAATGGCCTTGATATAACATAGGTATATTTTAGAATGGTCTTGCTTAGGTCTTTATTAATGTTTTAAAATATAATTATATTGGCTTTAATTTAACAGATAAAAGTAACTTTAGAAACTGTAGCCATTCATTTCGATTAAGACTCATTTTAAAGCTTTTTTACTATTTGGTGTCCACTGGACAGAATGGTTCTATTTATAGGGCTTTTATGTTTTTGTGGGCTTTCTCCCTTTTCCTTTACAGTATGTATATGGATTAAATATGTCTGCTAAGAGGTGTGAAATTGTAAATTTCACAAGTTGGGTAATAAATACTAGACTGTTAAAATCTTCAATTAAACATAGTTTAAGGTTTTACATTTTGGGATTGTGGAAAGAAAATTCTTTGTGATTTTTTTTCTACCTAAATCATCTAATTTAATTATTTTACCTTTCTCTTTGCTCTTTTTGAAGAAAATTTTCTTGTTTTATCAGAAAACTAGTAGACTAACAATGATTTCTTAGTTCAAAGAAGCACAAATGCTATTAGACATTGAGAGCTGAAAAAAGAAGGTGCCCTAGTGCCGTATTGGTTAAAGTACTTTGACTGCAAACTGAAAAGAGTGGTGTGAGCTTCACAGCAGCTCTGTGAGAGAAGGATGCTCCCATACACAGGCCAGAAACATGCACTTAAATCACAAACAAAATGAATAATGGGGAGGGATGAATACAACCTTAGAATCCTAATGCAACAATTATACTCCTCCTGTGAGATGCACTGAGTTGGAATCCATTCTACAGGAGCAGCAGGTTCACTTGTTCTTTTAGGAGGCATGGAGGGTGAATGGAAAAGAGTGAGTCAAAGATGCAGCTGTCGGTTAATTCTTTGTCGTTGAACTTTTCTATCTATTCTATAAAATGGTATAACTGATTCACTTTGTGAACTGAAGTGAACACATCAGATGAAATCAACTGAATTACTATAGATTATTATTTGTAGAGTTTGCCATCTTTCCTGCATATAACAGCATACCATTTGCAAAGAGGAAGGAACTATGTTAATAAAATATGATTGCTTCTTATATGGACACTGACATCAGAATTGTTGAACTTTCTGTCTTAGCTCTTTTTTATTTCTTTCCTTGTGTCCACTGTTTTTTGATCAATAGCAAATTTTTTTGCAATAATTCTAATGCTGAGAAATGATATAATCAGAGATATATAACATGTGGCTTTACCTGCTCTTTTTCTCTTTCATTCTTATTTTACTGTGCGCTCACTTTAATACAAAATCAATAGTTGTCTTTACAGTCATGCTAAGCTCAACTTTAACAGAATGGCAGAAATATAATAAGCATTTGATGAATGTTTCATTTTGAGGAAAGTTTTGTCTCTCAGTTACATAAACTTTATGGAACCAGTCCTTGGCCCCTTTGCTTATTAAATGAACTTAAAAGGAGGACTTTCATTACAAGTCTTTAGTTAAAATTTATATCATCAGAAAATGTTCTGAACTTTAATAGACTCTACCTCGTTTTATCTCTAGCCCTTATATCTGTGGGCATATGTTGATTAAGTTAACCATTCTCGTTTATGTTTAACTTGTTGATATATAAATTCCTAAAGTGTCACCTGAGGATGAATACCAAAGTTCTTTGTATTCTACCTTATTAGAATTTCCCAAATTATATCTTAAACAGGTTAAAGAAGACCAAGTCAGACAAATGGACATAGAGAATAGCTTTATTACCAAGTGGAAAGACACCCAAGTGAGTAGTAATAGTCAGATCTCTAAAGAAATTAAGTGAATACTCTTCCATTGTAAATTAAGACATTTGCTGTTCATATTTTCAAGTTCAAACTGGGAGCAGCAGATATAATTTTCCCCCTTCTGTAATCTACAGACACAGTCCACATGTGAAAGATGCCAAAGAATATTAATGTAAATTTTCAAAATATAGATAGAAAATCAGTATTAATGTTTTGAAGTTTTCCTTAAAAGAAATAAAATTTTATTTTAAGAACCTGTTGAAAATGGCCATAGAATTCAAAGGAATCTTCTGAAGCCTGCGAACTTTTAGAATAAATTGAGCATTCACACTCTTGAGTCTTAATGATTCTTTATATCATGACATAGAAAACATAAATTGTTTCTTATATGCTTTTGCTTTGCATGCTCTTAAATTATTTCATTCTTTCCAGTGTGGTCCCTGTAAGATGCTAATTTTTATCTTAAGCCCGCTTTTCTTGATTCTGTTTTGTTTTCCTGTGTTGCATTATATTGGATTTTTTATGTTCATAATGCGCTATGTTTTTCCAAGCTACTTTTCCTTGTTGATGAATAGTTATTGGAATTACCCGAGATTGATCATTAATCATATAATAACTAGAAGTTTTAGTAGATTTCAAACTCCAATGTAAATAATAGTAATGGTTCAGATGTTCTCTCTTTACAGAAAATGCTTAGAAAATGAGGTTCACAATAACCAGCCAGATCTTGAATTATCCTCAGTCCTGCAGTATCCATTATTAAAAGAAGGATCATCAGAGCTCTCAGTCTATGTGAGGATGTGTAGATAGATGAGGCTTCCATTTTTAATGTCTGTGTTTCCACATCCTAATTCTATATCTAAGGAGGCATTTCTCTCATTTTGATGGATAGTGCTGGTTCCAGGTCAATGGCATTTAACACTGAAATATGTGACTTGTCTTTACTTAGTTTATCATTTTGGGGGGATGAATTTAACCATTAAGTAGAGGGTTTTATGGATTCAGGGTATTCCCTACAATTTATGTTGAGTTTAGATAAAGTCAGTCTACTTAAGTGAAAATAAGAAAATAATTGTCTATAATTACAATACCTGTGAGAAAATAGCAGAAGAGTTTGTAAAAACCTAGTTTTGGAGTTTTGGATTTTTTTACAGTCTTTTATTGGAGATTTTGTTTTGTTTTATCCATGCCTTCCCAATCTCTTTAGATTATTTTCTAGAATATTTTCTGACAGTCTATGTCTTACCTCAGTTTGGATTTCTTAGGTACTATTTTTTGGGGGCTGCACTCTCTGAGTTCTTTGTGGTTGCTTTTTTTTAATTTTTAAAATGTATCCTTGTTGAACTGTTGTTTATTGAAACATAGTGAAAAGCAAAAATGTCAGACTATCTTTTCTTTCCCAGAATTGTTTTGAATAGCATTTAAAGTGAGAAAAAAAAAATTGGAAAGAAAATATTCCAAGCTGACACTACCAAAATAATTGAAAAAACTTCTTCAAAATAGTATTGCATGTTTTCCCCATACGTTTGGTCATTGGCTATTAAGCTGAGTGAAATGTGATGTCACAGTAATTGTTGCACCACTGTGTCCTTCTCGAGCCACTTATAACCAGGAAAAATATTACTCCAAACACCTCTTATAGATTTATAAGATTTCTTATGCTTTGCTAATCACCTTCACCTTCACTGTGATCTTGTAACATGTTTTAACATATGCTATCATCACATTTGCCTTTTTCTAGGTTTCGCAGGCTGGAGATTTGTTGATTGAAGCATTTGTTGAAAGGAAAGAACCTGACTGTAGTATTATCATTCGGGTGAGTCTTGAAGATGGATGCAAAGAATGCCATTGAAAATAACAAGTGTCAGAATGAAATAGAAATAGAAGAAATTATATGTTGTTTCTTATGGGACAGTGGTCTGTCTGTTCCTTTCTTGAAGGCAAGGTTGTGTCATCTGCATAACCCAAAATGGTTTGTAGTTTTTAAATTCCTCAGTGTTTCTTTTTCAGTTTTTAATTGTGAAAAAACATGTATGGGGATACAGGGAGGTGAGGGTTGGTAGCAGAAGGGTGAGGATGGGCAGGGATGAAATTGTAGGGATGCAGTTGCAGGGATGCACAATATGGTAGGTGGGGGAGGGAGGTAAAGGAAATGAAAAAAATCCAGTGGGGAGCAGACGATACAGGGCAATGGTAAACACAGTCCAATAGTGATTAAACAAACTATCTTATTCACTTGTGGGTTTCTTATTTGGGAATAGGGGGCAGACTTTCTGACTTCTTCATGCTGAACTGGGGTGTTGATGTGAAGGGGAAAGGGAGCACACTTTATCACCTTACTGGTGGTCCTGGGTTAAAGCTGCTTGGCTTATTGTTCTGTTAGAAGATATTTTTCTGAAATTTACTCCCCTCTGTACTGCAAGGTGTTTTCCAAGGTGGGTCCAGTGGGGATGTCTGACTGATCCCTCAGGCTTCATCCTTCTTTGCTTCCTTAGCTGGCAGTTGCATTTCCTTTTTGTCTCTAGAACTGGATTCAGGGTCAGGTCTGGAGTAAAACTCAGTGTTAAGGTTACCTATAGGAAAGGGACATCATGCTTGGTAGAGTGGAGGGACAGCGTAGAAAGGGAAGGCCCCCTATGAGGTGGATTGATTCAGTGACTGAGGTAATCGGGATGGGTGTATCAGAGACGGTGCAATTGGCACAGGACAGAGCAGAGTTTAGGGATGTTGTACATAGGGTCGCTATGAGTCACAAGTGGCTCGACGGCACATAACAAAAACAACAACATAGGAAAGGGAGCAAACCTAGAGAGAACAAACTTGTGAGTTACAACTAGAAGGGCTTTGGAGGTGTTACTTATTTATGGGTGTACTGGGGAAGAAGGTGGAGGAAAGTAGTCTAGATAAAATTCTCTATATACCCTAGGCAGTTTTTTTCTATCCAGGGGTCAGATGGCAGCCCGAGGGCTGAGGAGCTCACCCCGAAGACCAAATGACTCAGCTCAAGGGCCGAACGGCTCACCCCGAGGGCCAAATGGCTTACTCCAGGGACTGATCAGCTCATCTCAAAGGCCAAACGGCGCCCCCCCACCCACCCTGAGCGCCAGATGGCTCCCCCCAAGGACCAGATTGCCCTTGAGGGCCAGATGGCTCCCCCCTGAGGGCCAGATGCCCCCCCCAGGGCCAGGTGGCTCCCCCCCAGGGCCAGGTGGCTGCCCCCAAGGGCTGGATGGCCTCCCCCTTTCCTCAGTGTTTCTTAACATTTTATATCTCAAATTCACACCATGATTAATAAGAAAATTGACTTTTCATGCCAGTATCCTCTGGAATTCTGTGGTTTGGATATTTGGAAAGAAAAGATCGAAGGTGCTGTAGGCTGTCGATATGATGTTCTAATATTTCTAGAAAATAGGCTCTAGTACTAGTTTCTACACCTTCATAGTTTTAACTAACTCTCTAAGCCTCAGCCTCAGGATATTTTGGGGTTTCCCCCCTTCGGTAAAAAGAAGAAAAATTACAGTTCTTCTATCATCGCATTAACCTTGCTGGTATAGTGGTAAGAAGCTGTGTTTCAATCACAAGGGTGTGCATTTTGAATCCACCCGCAGTTCTCCGGGAAAAGCATGGATAATCTCTCTTCCTGTGCGATTTACTGCCTCCAAGAGCCAACTAGAGAGGGTCAGCTATGAATCGTTTCCTTTTCAATGACACATAACAGCAACATCATAGTCTGGAAAAGTAAAGGGTTAAGGAAAGAGAGGAAGACCCCTCAACAAGATAAACTAGCAGAGTTGACTACCGCAATGTGCTTGAGCAAGACAGCTATCAGGAAGATGGTGCAAGATAGGACAAGTGTCTTCCTTGAGGACATCAGTTCTTTGTTGAATTAAAAATAGATTGTACTTAGGTTATTCATGATTTTTTGTGTCAGTGTAATAACAGTTCTATTTTGGGGTCTTGCACTACTTGCTTCATGTGAGGAATAGATTATCATACAGCACTAGAGGCTCAACTTTAGCTCTTTTTTTTTTAATGTTAAAGATAATTTATAGTGTCAGCCCTATGTACCTTTGAACTTTTTGTTGTTATTAAGTACTGTTGAGTCAGAACTGACCTTCCAGTGGGTTTTCAGAGGCAGCAAATCACATGTGAAGAAATTATCCATCATTTTTCCATGGAGCAGCTGGTGGATTCAAACCATGAGCCTTTGGGTTGGCAGCTGTTAAATACATTTTAATTGTTAATTTACATA